AGGAAAGGAAAGGAAAGAAAAGGGAAGGGAAGGGAAGGGAAGAGAAGGAAGTTGAAGGAAAGAGAAGGAAAGAGAAGGAGAGGAAGAAAGGACACTTTACCTGGTAACACATTTTCCCAGAGAACCTGGATGCTGTTGTCACGATCAGGTCTGCTCTGCTCATGCCAGAAACCCACTGAATGACCGATTTCATGTGTCATTACGTGATGGAAATCACAGTTATCACCGATAGAGATCTGACTCATGTAGTTTGCCGTATGCCCAACATGTCCCCAACATCTACACACAAACAATTATACCAGGTAATTATAAAGCGTATTCACTCGTGACAAGGCAGCCATATTGGTGTACCAAACAATAGAAACTTTCTGCTCACTTTTTGCTTAAAATAGAGTTCAATTCCCGAAGGATAGAAGGATAGTATTATTTTGGTACACTAACATGGCCGCTGTACTGACATCACGTGAAAATGCTTCACACTTTACATAATTGTACACCCCTTCCTCCCTTCCCTCTCCCGCGATAAGAATTCTCCACTTTTCTTAGCTTATTGTGCACTGAAACCAAGTTTTCCTATGTGTTCAGTTTCTCGATCGAATGAATGACCCTATATATGTCAAATATTTTTACAGGATTTGATTTCTTGGCCCTACTTTACGCTGCACCTTCTAGTAGTTGCCTAATCCTGTCCTATGAGTTGCAGATGCTAATGTAGGGGAGGTGGTTGTCAAGTTGCTTTGATGTGCTTTGACTGGTTTTCACTAGCGATGCGAGCACAAGACTCTTTATTTTAGTGTGAAAACGGGCTCCATGCAAGTGACAGGGATCAACACTTTTCCTCTTCCTTCTGTTTGTGCTTGCGTTTATGATTGCATTTATGATTACGTTTGTGCTTGCGCTGCAAGTGAAAGTCAGGATATGCAAATGACAAAAGTATAGCTGACTGGGATTGGATTAGTCTACGATACCTGTTGCTATAGAATAATTCATTGTCTTGAATGGCTCTCGATCATACTCCAAAAAAAAGGCATAGACATACTGATGCTATCAGACCTCCTCGACCCAGGCGTAATGTTTTTCCATTTCAGACCACGTGTCATTCCCTAGAGTTTCATTTCTTTGTTTAACGGTTGCACATGAAAAGACACATGAATATGGATACAACTTTAAAAACAAAGAATCTTATTCTCAAGAGAATGACACGTGGTCTGAAATGGGAAAGCACAGTGCCGTAACTAGGGGGGAGCACAGGGTGCACGTGCACCCCCCATAAAAGCTTAAGGTCCGCTCACCCATCTCCTTTTTCTTTTTTTGGTTCTGCTTTCTTAAAAGAAACGATCAATGGTCCGATTTTATTTGATGTGCACCCTCCTTGTAAAGGTTCTAGTTACGGCCCTGAAGCATTACGCCCGAGCCGAGGAGGTCTATTTTATCATTGCTAACGAACGAGTCGTTCTATCTACTCCATATCATGACGTTTGTATAGAATCTAGCTTGATTCTGCTCCAACACGAAGTCGAACAGCATTGTTTATAAGACTCTTACCCTTGTCCTCTAAAGAACTGTAAAAACGCCGTCTCTGTAGTCTTGGGTTTGAATCGAATACACGTCTTAGCTTCCCATTCAGCCATAGCTCTCTTGACCGAAGTGATAGCACTTTCCATGTTAGCTATTTAAAAAACAAAGAAAAGAAAAATTTAACCGGCATTTGTGTGTCATCTTTGCGCAGATAAAGACAAAAAGTCTTATAATTGAGATTTCACCAAAAGCCAGTGAATCGAGGGTTTTCTCCAGGTCCTTCGATTTTCCTCCCTCTGCAAAACTGAACCAACTAAATTCCAATTTCGTGATCTGTAAGTTAGCCGGCCCTGACTTTGATCAGCCCAGAGGATGCTTCAGGGTATCTATCTGTAAGTTAGCTGTCCCCTGACTACTTTGATCAACCCAGAGATTGTTTCAGGATATCTATAGAATTTAATACAAGAGCAGTTCTTACCTATAGAACAGTCAAATTCGTATGGGATCACCGCGTTAGGCCATCTTTCTTTGTCTACGCTGCTGGCTGCTCTACCAAGGGGGGTCCCGTACGGGTTGCCATACCTCTCCATGTTCAGTTCCTGCGCCGGTGTTAGTTTGATGTCTCCATGGAATAGATGTGAATGGCTTTCTGGGCTTTTAAGTAAGTCTGTATCAAGGAACATTCAACATTCGTGTGGCTCTAATTTCTCATATACTGATGATGACTAGTGGTTACTAGTTGGAACTGTTTTGGTGTGTTGAATTCAACAAGTGAATGAGAATGACTAGTTGGAATTGTTTTGGTGTGTTGAATACATCACGTGAATAAGAATGACTAGTGGTTACTAGTTGGGACTGTGTTGGTGTGTTGAATACAACATGTGAATAAGAATGACTAGTGGTTACTAGTTG